TTAAGTGCGTGACGTCTGTAGAGTGTAAATCTGTTCGAATAACCGCGTCATCGGTCTTGGGACACAATTCGTACTAGGTCACACTATTTGGTCTGTGTCGAGTCTAGAGGAATAAACCATATAATGTCGTTGCTAAAAATGAACTAGATAAAAGGTAAGGAGCTTCATATAATGTAAATCTACTCCCTTTTAACATTTTATGCATGAGATCTTTCTAGCAATACCATCCAGGAGCTTATGAATTTGTAGCTAAACTGGCATGTAAACAATGGTCACCTCCCTAAGCTTTGGTAAATCCATCATATGGGCACATCAAGACCACCCAGTTTATGAATAACAAATTTGTGCTCCCAATCCCCCAGGCAAGATGCTTGGACAGTTAAAAAATTCGGTCCTGTCGGGCGGAATCTGACTTCCTCCGTCGGGCTACACGCATCTCTCATATCTCTATAGAAAGCGGTTGACTAGATGACTTCTCTGTATGAAATCTAGCTAGGGCAAGCCAATGAACACTATAGTTGAATGCTGGATCATCCTCATCTATCTCAACATCATCAAAGACTTCATCGTTCAGTTCGAGCTGGTAAAAATTCACCTATATTAGAATTTCCAATGGCCACACCATCGCAGCTGGTTGTAGACCGGCGTCTGAAAACATCACACATGGGCTGTCGGAGGAGACGACCGCCACACGTTCGTCCAAACCCTAGGCCATGGAGGAAAGAACCCTAGCCACGCCATAGGGGAAACTCGTCCGCTTATTAACTTTGACCTAAAGTTTGACCAGGTTTATAGGAAACAATATGAACATTTACTATGGCAAATCCCTATAACTTGAAAATATGTTCAATGGTGAAGCTAGTGATATTGATTTGTGTATATGTTGATTTTTTCCTACAACCTTGATAAAAGTTTAGAAAGTTTGACATTAGACAAAATTAATATGTGGAGTAAATAAAAACAGAGGCAGCGTTAGTTATGTGGATATGTGTAATAAGTGTGTCCAACAGAGGCAACTATTAATTCTATCCCAGCTAAAAAAGAATATTAGTTCTATAAATGCACCGGTTTTTATTATTTCTGCACACATACTTATTAAATTTTTAGCTAAAATTAAGATTGTTCGTATGATATGGAAACGTCCCGAGTCGCAACCTGTAGCTAGCTAGCCAGAAATCGAATCGAAATTTGAAACTCATGTCTACAATACCGTTTACACCTGACCCACCCGTGGTTATCATTTTCGGAACCATGCTTACAAAAGCAACTAGGTGTACTCACTCACAGAAAGGCCCTCGCGCCGCCGCACATTTTCCGAGACCGCCACACACTGTCATCCATGCACCCAAGCGGAGTCGGACAATTCTCCTACGAACGATAACCTTTTTACGCATGATTCCGGACAGAACCATGAAATTTAGAACCCTAGCCACCCACTCTCCCATGTACGTGCATGTAATGCGGTCACTGCGTTAGCTAAGGTTTCGAGTCTTTATCAATAATAAAGATGCGTGACAATGGTTTGTATTTAACAATATTAAACTACCTGATGCATATAAAAGAATTCCCAACATGTTCTTTGATAATCAAATTGATCGAGTCAAAAATATCATTGCCAAAGGTTTAGAAGGAATGTCCATAATTATGGAAAACACGGTGATTACCTTTAGCACAAATAATGTTTAACATGGCAATCACTTCAAGCCCAACCCTTGAGACAAGATCAAATACAAACAATTGTTTCTTTTATGCGCTATTTCAACCAATCACACAATTTAGAATAGAATATGAGCACAAGTCTAGGTTCCATGCCCTAATCATTGGCATGAGAACGCAATGTTGGGGTTTCAAAAAGTCGAAAACAAAGAAAATATTGCATCAATGCAACTGATGATTAGGCCACGAAGAAGACTTTATAATTGATATTAGTGCAAGGAGTTTGGATTGCCATGCAACTACAATGCACATAGAGCTATGTATGAATGAAAGCTCTCCCCTGGACTAGTGCAGGTGCATCCAACTTGCCTGCTAATGAAGACCTAAAGCTAATTTGAGGAGGCTCGTCATTGTACGAGACAAGTTCTATAATGTGAGGTCCCCACCAGTATATGAACCAATGAAACTCCCGAACGATCGTGCAATGTGGCTCGGCAAAAGGCTTATTTGTCGAGTCCTTTTGTTTTACCGACGGCTCTCAGCAAACAGAGGATTGCCCCGAGTACGCTCTATTGCCGAGTCATGTCCTCGGCACACAGTTTTTTTTCCGTGTGCCCGTGAGTGGGAGCTTGGCACTCGGCAAAGACGGATTTTCCAGTTTTGATAGAGGGAAAGGGAAAAAGATTAGAAAGTCGGTAGCTCGTAGTTGGTTGACGCAGAGTGGATTGGCTAGCCAGCATGTAGTTGTGAGATAATTTGGTCCAACAAAACCGTCTCAGCCTGTAAAGACACACCCTCCTTCCTCCCCCACCACGGTTGGCAACACCGGCAAAGGAGAGAGGAAGGAAGATGTCAGAATTTAACACTTTCGTGCCAAGCTTCTGAATATGCCACTATGCTAGACAGAGGGAAGGGGAAAGAGAGGGCGAGTCAGCGGTTCGTAGTTAGTTGATGCGGAGTGGGTTGGCTAGGCAGCCCGGCTGCGAGATAGTTTGGTGCAAGAAACCTCACAACAATTTTTTTTGAGTACACAGTTCACATTACTATTCATGCTATAAAGGTGTATTGGAAGCATCTACCGCGATTAGAAGTAACTAAAAACACTTTCCAAATAAGCTCGATTTGTGATGATGTTGCCATTTTTAAATCAATCTCGCGTGAGAAAGGTCTATTTATCATGTGAACATATGTGTAGAAATTTCACTTCCATAACCAAAAGACGAGGAGAGACGCCACAAAGGCTACCAATGCACCAGAATTAATTGTTTTTGGGCACCCGAATTAATTTCACTTCCACATACTTGGTCTTTAATTAAATGATCAAGAAAGAAAAAGAATCAAAGATTTTCCCACCCGTTGGCAGCTCAATCATTGTTGGTGGATGGTGGATGGGAATCGAAATTCGAAACCCCGGTCCGTCTACAGTGCCGTTTGGTGGCACGTGACCCAACCGCAACCCTGGTTAACCACTCCCGCTCTACCATGGTTACTTTTTTCACCAAAGCAAACCAGGCGCGCGCAGCTGGAGGACGGCCTTTTACACGCCGGTCCTTACAGAACCGCGAAATTGGGCCCACCTCCCCCTCCCTCTCCCACGTACGGACCACGCCATGCGCTCACCACACCGCTCGCTAGGGTTTCGCCACCCCACTCGCTCACCCCGCATAAAGCCGCCTCCCCGCTCACCGCCGTCCTCACCCACTCCCTCCCACGCCTCCACGCTCCTTTCTTCCTCCCCAATCCACCGCCGCCACCACCGTAGCGTAGCCCTCCCACAACCACCGCTCTCTCTCCCGCCATGGCCTACCGCGGAGGCGGAGGCCGCGGCGCGCCGGCGGGAGGAGGGCGTGGGGCCACGGGCAGGCCGCCTCCGTGCGCGTCCTCGGCGCCTCGCCCCGCCGCGACGGCGGCGCCCGTGGTGGCCGACAACCCCAACGCCACGGGGCCGCACCAGGGCGCCTACCAGCACGGCGTCGTCGTCCGCAACCCCGCGCCGGCACCCTGCGCCGCCGTCCGCGCGCCTTCCCCGACGCCGGTCACCATCCGCGCGCCCTCGCCCACGCCGACCACCATCCGCGCTCCCGCTCCGACGCCCTCGCCGGCCGCGCCTCCGTTCCAGCCGGCCCGCGTCTCCGCCCCCGCCCCCGCTCCACCGACCCCCGCGGCCGTCGCCAAGGAGCTGGAGCCCAAGCCCTTCTTCACCGAGAGCGCGCTGGCGCCGCCCGCGGCCGCGGCGGCGCAGGTGGTGCAGCCCGAGGCGGAGAAGGGGCCCGAGGTGGAGCACGTGCCGGTGTCGAAGAAATGGCTCGCCCACCACGCGCGCCCCGGCGCCGGCACCGTCGGCCAGAAGGTGATGATCCGCGCCAACCACTTCGTCGTGAACGTCGCCGACAACGCCCTCTTCCACTACGATGTGAGCTGCCTCCGGAACCCCATCCCGCTCCTTAGTCCTTACCTACACTCTCTGTTCACGTAGTGGCTATTTCTGGTTTAGATCTGGCGTGCCATGCATGTTCTCGGTATACCCTTGTGATCGTGTTGTTTTCCCCCGCTAGCTGATTAGTTAATTTTTCCCTGTGAATTGTGTCCGACCTCATCGAGTAGTTTATGTGGGTGTTTTGGTCTAGCGCTCTTGCTACAGGATGTGGGAGCTTCGTCTAGTTTAGATCTGCCGTTTTTGAGCATGTTTTTCCGTTGTCCGCGCTAATTAACCGATAGATCTACCCCGGGATAAGCTTGTACTGACCCATCCATGGGTGATTTGGTCGAGCTAGCGCTCTCGCTACACTTAATCGGCCCTTGTATTTTTCGCTTGGCGTTTTCGAAGATGCACGGATGGATGGTTTTCTTCTGTTCTCGTGCATGAACAGTGGAATTTTTGGAGAGCGAGCGAGAGAGAGAGAGATAATTGCCTCCGTGCAAAGCCATCCCGCAGACAGTAGCTAGCGCGTCTTGTTTTCGGCTCTGTTGGTCTTGTCTTGGAAACTAGCAGTACAAGTACTAGTTATTTTTTGGGCAACTTTGCGGTCTTGGGTGCAGATTCTTGGGATCCGTTTTGGCTTGCTATAGACGGGAGGTCGTCGTGAGATCCCATCCCATCCTCCCCGTCCCATGCAAAGCCACCCACCTTTTTCTTTTTTCGATTTGATCTCCTGTGTCTTTTTCTGGCCTTCTTGCATGGTTCTGATTTCCGTCTGGTCCGTTTTAGCGACAAAATTCCTTTTCATTGCAGCTATGTCACAGTGTCCAGATCCTTATTCTCCACCACCTTTGGTCACAGAGGAGACATTGGTGAAGGATTAGAGTGCTGGAGAGGTTACTACCAGAGCTTACGTCCAACCCAGATGGGGCTGTCACTCAATATAGGTACTCCTCTCCCCTCCCCTGTCTGTTACTGTTACTGTTTTCTGATTGCAGTGTGTCCTAGCCTTGTTTATCTGATGATCTCCACTTCATTTTTCAGACATATCTGCAACATCCTTCTTCAAGCCTGTGACAGTGGTCCAGTTTGTGCTAGAGTTCCTCAACTTACGTGATGCCTCACGGCCTCTGACAGACAGGGACCGTGTTAAGGTACTGTTCATCCATGCTAAGCTAGTTTTAGAATTCATGTTATGTAGATTGCGCCATGTTATTCTCTTGACATAGTTGACTAATCTCCTCCTATGCACAATATGCAGATAAAGAAAGCACTCCGTGGGGTGCGTGTCGAAACAAACCACCAGGAAGACCAAATCAGAAGATACAAGATAACAGGGATTACTCCTGTTCCCATGAGCCAGCTCATGTAAATAACTTCCCTCCAATGCTATAATATTCTCCATTATGTCTTTTATCTCTATGTTCTGGTGCAACTAATCAGGGTTGCTGGAATATTAGAAAGGTGCGTAGTTGTGTAGAGATTTCCGGGTTATTGCTTCTTCATTGACGTTGGTGTGTCAGGAACTGGTTAGGGGAATAATTTTGTTTACAACATTCTTCCTGTGCCATATGCATTTGATTTCTGCAGCATAGCAAGGATCTGTTTGTGCCAAATTGTTTCCTGTTCACAATTTCCCTTATGAACGTTTAGACCACAGTTTCCTTTTTAGCATCTATCCATGATTATCATTCCCTTTCTAATAGCACTCTACTCGGGTTGTTTTTGTTGTTGTTAGATTTCCTGTTGATGAGAGAGGAACAAGAATGTCAGTTGTTCAGTACTTCATGCAAAGATACAACTACAATCTGCAGTATACTTCTTGGCCCTGCTTGCAGTCTGGAAGTGATGCTCGGCCTGTGTATCTGCCTATGGAGGTATTGTGTCCATGCCTGCTTCGTCATACTTGAATTATGCATTGTTTGCTCATGGTTCTCTACAAATTGATTGTAGGCGTGCAAGATTGTTGAAGGGCAAAGGTACTCTAAGAAACTGAATGACAAGCAGGTCACCAACATACTTAGAGCTACCCGTCAACGTCCCCAGCAGAGGGAGCAAAGCATTCGTGAGGTATGTACCTACTGTAAACTGGATTCTGTAAATACCTGCCCATATCTTCTTTTCAAGGCATATATGTCATGTTTGCCTGTAATGTCCAGTCTTTCTCGTAACACTCTTTTTCACACTGTAGATGGTTCTGCATAACAAGTATGCTCAGGAGTTTGGAATCAATGTCTGCAGTGACCTGGTCTCTGTTCCAGCCCGTGTGCTGCCTCCCCCCATGGTAAGGATGCTGCATTTTTTTCCCTTTCTCTGAGCTGCTTAAACTGGAAGGATTTGTAGTAATCACATCCTTCGTATGTGTTTCAGTTGAGATATCATGATTCTGGAAAGGAGAAAACTTGTGCGCCAAGTGTTGGACAGTGGAACATGATTAACAAGGTATTTCTCTGTTCAGTGTCTTCACTCCCAATTTTACTAAGCATTACTTCTTCTTGGAACAAGGAGTGGGAGAACTTGTTGAATTTCTTCTTTGGTTGTTCTAAATGTATTGGACAGGTCATCATTTTGTACTCCCTCCTTAAACTAATATAAGAGCGTTTAGAATACTAAAGTAGTGATCTAAACGCTCTTATATTAGTTTACAGAGGAGTATGTAGCAACTCAAATTATTTTGCTTGACACTTTATTGATCATGTAGTTTTCACACTAGTTACTTAAATTGAGAAACAGTTGAGCTTGTTTGCGACTTGGCTCATTATTTTGTATGTAGTATATCCATGATGGTACAAATGATAGGTCTCATTTGAGTTTTTTTACTGCAGAAAATGATCAATGGAGGAATCATAGACAACTGGGCCTGTGTGAGTTTTTCACGCATGCCTCCTGAGGAGGTACACAGGTTCTGTTGTGATCTGATTCAGATGTGCAATATGACTGGAATGGTAAAGGCTTGCATTGCTTTCCTGTTTCTAAGGCATTTATGATTTATGTGTGTATGTTATAGCTGACTGACTTGTGTTTTCCAACCCTGTAGTCTGTCAATCCAAGGCCACTTGTAGACAACCGATCAGCTAACCCCAACCACATCGAGAATGCCTTGAGGGATGTCTACAGGAGGACTACCGAAATGCTTGGAAAACAGGGACACGAAAAACAGCTACAACTGTTAATCGTAATCCTACCTGAAGTCAGTGGTTCTTATGGTATGCATATGTCTCCTCTGGTCAATCCCCTTCCACCTTCTCTTGGATTTCTGTAGATTTATGTGTGTGCCACGTTTAACTTTGCAGGGAAAATCAAGAAGGTTTGCGAGACCGACCTTGGGATCGTGTCTCAGTGTTGCCTGCCAAGGCATGCTGCCAGACCGAACAAGCAATATCTGGAGAATGTTGCACTCAAAATCAATGTGAAGGTAACATAACCAACTGGTCTATGTTTTACATTCAGTTTCCATGGATTGTTGATTTGTTGTCTGCTTCGGTTTCTGTTGAATGTGATAATTCTGTGTCTTAACTAGGTCGGAGGACGCAACACAGTTCTGGAGAGAGCTTTTGTGCGAAATGGCATACCGTTTGTGTCCGAAGTCCCAACAATCATCTTTGGTGCTGATGTTACACACCCCCCACCTGGAGAGGACTCTGCATCATCTATTGCTGCGGTTAGTTCTTTCCCCGTAGCTAACAGTTTGTCAATTCGTTATTTGTTTCTGTCTGATTTTATGTTTCAAATGGAATTATCATCTCGATGCACATGCCTGTTGAGTACAAATAGACTTATCCGCTTCTTTTATTGGATTGATGTAGGTGGTGGCATCAATGGACTGGCCAGAGATCACCAAGTACAGAGGTCTTGTCTCTGCTCAACCACACAGGCAGGAGATAATCGAAGACCTCTTCAGTGTCACCAAAGATCCGAAGAGGGGTAATGTCAATGGTGGCATGATCAGGTGAGTTTTGTGATTAGTCAGAGACGTTTGCTAGCAATTGCCCTGTGGATCAACTGCTAACCTGACATAATTGTCTCTACAGGGAGTTACTGATTGCATTCCGCAGGAAGACAGGCCGGAGGCCTGAGAGGATACTCTTCTACAGGTGTGTGCACAAATTCATGACACTCTTTTCATCCTGTCCATTCAATGGAACTGCCTGACCGATCATTCTCATGTACAGGGATGGCGTAAGTGAAGGCCAATTCAGCCATGTTCCGCGTCATGAAATGGACGCAATCAGGAAGGTAAGCCTGCAACATATGATTACATGCAAATTTCTGTTTTGTCTACCTCCTCTGATGTTATCCTTGGCTTTTCTCATTCTGATGGTTCTTAATTTTGCTGTTGCAAGGCCTGCGCCTCATTGGAGGAGGGGTATATGCCCCCAGTCACCTTTGTGGTTGTCCAGAAAAGGGATCACACCAGGCTGTTCCCTGATGTTCATGGGAGGCGTGATATGACTGACAAGAGTGGGAACATACTTCCTGGTTAGTAGTTCAATGTCACTGGTAGCAACTATCTGCTACTTGTTGAAGCATTGCTGACTGTGATTGCTATTTTTATTGTCCTGCAGGAAGTGTGTTTGAACTCATGACCTGCCACCCAACAGACTTTGGCTTTTACCTGTGCAACAATACCAACATACAGGTAGGCACTTGATCCAAATGTCATTTTTCTATGCATTTGATCTTCAGTGTTTGCATACTGAGTGCTTGCAAATACTCGCAGGGAACAAGTTGTAATTACCATGTTCTTTATGATGAGAACAATTTCACGGCTGATGCGCTTCAATCCCTGACGAAGAAGCTCTGTAATACGTAATCTTCTCTCTCTCTCTCTCTCTCTCTTTCTCTGTGTGTGTGTGTGTGTGTGTTGTGCTGCGCTGTGTTATGAATCTTACCACTTCTGATCTGTCTTTTGCAGCTATGCTCGGTGCGTTCCAGGACTCTCCACAGGTGAGTTTTTTTTCTTGTTCAGTTTCTGCCTTAATTTTACTTGAAGTCTGTTCTTTTTCCCTCTAAGTAGATAAGATAATCATGCTAGTGTGCAGCTTAGGCCTCGTAATATTGGATCAGTTGCTTGTATGTCTGCTTAATTGTGCTTTGCCAATGGCCTTTGTTCTACTGCTTCCTAGTCCTCTGTTTTGACGTTTACATCTTGTGCTGTTTATTTTCAGAACCTAAAATTTAACATGTTTTGCAGTGGCACCGGCTTTTTATGCTCATGTAAAAGCTAGAGTCTGTACTCGCCACTACATTGAAGGGGACGGCTCAACTGGGGAACTAAATATTAAACTTCTTGGTGGTGGTGACAAGTTAGTTACTGACATCTTAGTACTATTTCCAGTCTGTAAATGTTTGTCTTTTTTCTCTATGCCAAGCTTTAATGTTATTACTGTTTTGCAGTCCGGATACTGGAAGGCCTCGTAAAAGGCATCGTAAGGAAGAATCGGGTTCTTCATCTCAATCGGCCGATCACCCAACTCTGGGAGGCAACAGAATATCCAACATAAGTAATGCCGGTCGCGTCCCTTTTGTGGACTATGTTAAAGCACATCGCGGTAGTTTCATCGTCAAAGTGAGAGTTCAGGACTGTACCTCTACAGTTGTAGGTAGAAAGGAATATAGATATGATTTTGACGACATCGGTAGGGTACTCGGTAGTAGTTTTCTTATAGCTTACTTTGACACACACAAAGAGAACTTGACGTGGGGTGGAGAATTGATGTTTGAAGATATTGAAGTAAGCTATGGTCGAATCGTGGTGAATAGAAAGCCAAGAGTGGCTACGAGTCAAGATGATTTTGACAAGGATATCCATGTCCTCGTATTAATGTTGAGAGCTACATTCCTTCCAAAGGGGAAGAATTTACCATACTTTGAAGGCTTTCTTACATTTATCGAGAAGAGCAAATTTAGAAATCATCCAGAACTGCTACCGTACAAGCGGCGCCCCTTGGTTTTTATGTCCCCACTAGAAAGAGGTAATTGTTGTTGAACTTCTATGCTTTTACTTATTTTTTTGAGAAACTGTGTCATTTTATAGTAGCTTAGTTAGTGATAGCTTAATTGCACTTTTATCCACTGTTGGGTTAACTAATGCATTATACTAACAACTATTTGCAGTTACGTTATTGAATAACTGCTTTTTTACTGCAATTGTAGCTGCTGCTTTGGATAATCTTTTGAAGATTTATTTCCGGCTCAATGTTACTGAGCAGGAGAATTTCCGGTCAACATTGACCAACTTCGATTGCCCCAAGTGGCCTGATGCAAAAAGTTATTGCATTTTTGAACCTTTGGTTACTTATCAAGTGAACAAGCATGACGTCGATACATACCTAGACGAGGAATTTTATTGTTTACTCATTTTGCGAAACCATAATGAGCACGGCAAAGTGGTACTAAATGTCTAATCTCTTTATTATAACTGTTTCCCTTTTATTGTTTGCTGTTGTTCTAAAGATTAGTTTAAATTACAGTTGCCATGGGAATTGCTTGATTATGCCTCAGTTGCGTGCTTCGGAGATTTTGTTCAGGATTCTTTCTTGGGTCTTATGCTAAAGGGCTATGAAGTTCATAAAGCCCTTGCTTAAAGGTAACAAGTCATTTGCTCCTAAATTCTGTTCTTATAGCCACTGTTGGGTAAATATTTCTTGGATAATTTGTGGTAGATTCTTAGATAGGGACATAAAATTGGATAACATTGTTCCTAGTCTTTGGTTCCCTCTTTGTTTCTTGGATCGGAATGCATGTTCTTGTACGAATTGTTCTGTTTTCATCTCCTGATGACCACAAGCTGATAACCACGGGGCTATTTTCTTAGAATTTTCGAGTTTCTACTGTCTACACGAAGTCCTTGCATGTGCGATAAAGATCTTGAAAAAATCTTGGCATCTAATCTTTCTCTGTTTCTGCTTGTGATGTCAAAACACCCCACGTATCTAGTTTGCTCTGGTTACTACTGATGCCAATGCCATTTATTGTAATGGATTCTGTCCTGAACTTCCGAATTGTGATATCCAATCTGCTACTGTTTTCTGATGCGTCTGATTGAATCTGATGGCTGACCTCTTGATGCTTTGTGATGGGTGGCAGGCATTTGGCAGGCAGAAGGTGGAGCCTGAGGTCAAGGAGGAGACTCCGGGTGTGATGCCAGAAGTACCGGCGGCAACTGAGTCTCAGTGAAGGCGTCCTGAGCTCGTGATCGTCTTCCATGAATCTGAAGCTTCATTCACTGAGAGTTGTGAGGTCTTATCAGCATAGAGTTATCTTTTGGTTTTGTCCTTGTCTTTGCTTAGTTGGGACATGGTTTGCCTGAGCGATTTCAACTTGTAAGACACTAAGACCCGTTCCAGTTATGGATCTTAATCTGGTTGGAACCGCCGTCATTTGCGGTGCATTTTGGTGATATTCGTTTTGCCATCACCTATGCTTCATTCTGTCGAATGGAATGGAAGATCATTTGATCAGGTAGTTCTCTGTGCAATGCGACCTGGTCTTGTTCTGGTTCTCCTTGATGCTACAAATGCTACCTGCTTCCTATTGAGTTTAGTTGCTTCAGTGTATTCGTGCAGTATTATAGTTGGTGTTTACATTCGAATGTATATTTCTCAAAGATTGGCCAGGCCAATAAGAGTTTATAAGGGCACATCAAGCCGTGAGGAGAGGTGGGTCAGCCAAAAATTGCCTGCCTCCTTGTCTGTCTTGGCTGCTACCTTGTCTACCGGTTCCCTAAACCGGTTGCACCAAAGTTCATAAGTTTCAAATAGTAAGCAGAGCATCATGGTGTTCATTTCTGAAGGCGGCAGCGTTCCTAGATTGCTAGATCTTCCAGAGGATGGAAGCAGCACCTCAGGTCAGACGGAGGGATCAAGACCAGTCGGGGCGATGGCAGACCAAAGGTCTTAAAACCTGTGAGAAGGGTTGATTTGAAGTTGAACCCAAACTTGGCACGCTTTGGGGTAGTTTAAGAACAAATGTGCAGTGTCTTTAGAGGTGCATGGGCAGGCTGCATCTGAGATTATATGCTTGTGAAACTGGTTAGCTCGTGTTTAAGAGGAGCCAGCCGAAGAGCCTTAGCTTGGGGTGAGCTCTTGATCGCCAAATTAGGTTCGCGCGATCATCTTCAGTTTCCCCCTGAGTGAGGATCGCATAGGCTGCCTTTGAGGAGAATGGCGCACCATGGTTGAGGATCCGATCGTCCGGTCCTTCAGAGAGCTGGAAGTCCTGTAACAGTACATTCAAGGCAACAAGCTCGGCCGAAGTAGCATTAGATAGCCGGTTAGTCAGGTTAGCATGTAAGCCGTACTGCATGACGTGGAAAACAAGGATGTGTGGGTCTCTTGAGTGGGAGTAGAGGCTTGGGAATTTCTAAGCTAGGGAGGTTTGCTGTAGCCAGGTGTCATGCCTGAAGAAAGTTCTGAGGCCATTATTTGTGAGCACAGATGAGATGGAACATAGGGTTTTTATGTGGCATTATATGATTTTGGTCAGGAAGGTGGGGTTGTTGCAGGAGGCAATGTGTGGCAGGTTGTTTAGGTGTGTACTTTGTTTAGCCATGAAATCCAGGGCAGCACAATAGGAGAGCTGTCAGAGAGGAGCTTGTGAGCAAACTTCATTAGCAAACAATCATTTTATAAAGCTATATTTTTTATGCCAAGACCACCAATTTGTTTTCAGTTTGCAAATGACAATAAGGCATTGAGCGCCAGAACATGACTCGTCGGCGGCCCAGAAGAACGCTCTCCGAATAGCATCAATGGCTTTCACCGTTTATTTAGGGAGTTTGAAAACAGACATGAAGTACGTGGCTAGCGAGTCGAGAACCGAATAGATGAGAACTAAATGTGCCGAACGGGAGAGCAGTTTGGCGCACCATCCAGGCAGGCGATTTAGGCAGCTAGAGATGATCGGCTGCAAAGCGGAAGCTGGCAGTTTGTAGGGTGACAGGGGGCCCTAGGTACTTATGTGGAAAATTAAAGATGGGGCAACCTAAGGTAGAAGCAATTGTAGCAGCGGTAGCGTTGTCTAAGTGCAGTGGGACGAAGGTGCTTTTGAAGAAGTTTATGTGAAGCCCAGTAGCTGCGGAGAAGGATTCCAAGATTGATTTAAGAGTGGCAGCTGCTTCATCAGATGCATGTTACAATTAGGGTGTCGTCGACGTAGTGAAGCACCACGGGGGGAGATCATGGTAGATTGGGTGCCCGAGAGCAGCATTAGATGTAGTGAATGCATTACAGATTAGCTATTGCAAGATATCTACCACAATGAATTAAGAGTTACGACGAGAGGGGGTCACCTTGACGAAGACCATTTTTGCAGTTAATCTAATCACCCTCGACTCCAATTAATAGAACATAAGTTTTGTCCGAGCTTAGGATGTCATTGATCCAAGCGTAGAAGCGGTCTGGGAAACCGTGGTGTCGCAAGATTTTGAGAAGGGAAGCCAGGAGACAGAGTCATAGGCTTTTCTAAAATCCAGCTTTAGGATCATAGTTTGGGCTTCTCGTTTGTGACATCAGTTTTTTTGACAAAAGGGTGATTTTTATTGGCTCGAAATGAAGCTCAAGAGGATAAACAGAAAGAGCACACATCCGACCTTTGCATAGCTAGGATGCACACAGTCAACCACAACGCACGCAAACAAAAAACACACCCGCAAAATGTAAAGTCATATAAGACCAAAACTATGCGTAGGCGGGTGAAAAAGAAAAACTCAATCGACTAAATCCGTGATCGGCAAACTACAACAATGATCATATGTAACGACCCGACCCTGCTTCGCGTCCGTCCAGGCACGAGCGTGTGCGCGCTTTGACAGCACCGGGTCTACCTCGACCCGATCCAGCAAGCGAGCCGGCCTACCTTGGCCTCTCCATCGACCTGGGCTTGGCCCGTGGTGAGAATGTTGGAAATATCCCCTAGAGGCAATAATAAAATGGTTATTATTATATTTTCTTGTTCATGATAATTGTCTATTGTTCATGCTATAATTGTACTAATCGGAAACCGTAATACATGTGTGAATACATAGACCACAACATGTCCCTAGTAAGCCTCTAGTTGACTAGCTCGTTGATCAATAGATGGTTGTGGTCTCCTGACCGTGGACATTGGATGTCGTTGATAACGGGATCACATCATTAGGAGAATAATGTGATGGACAAGACCCAATCCTAAGCATAGCACAAGACCGTGTAGTTCGTTTGCTAGAGCTTTTCTAATGTCAAGTATCATTTCCTTAGACCATGAGATTGTGCAACTCCCGGATACCGTAGGAATGCTTTGGGTGTATCAAACGTCACAACGTACGTTGTGACTATAAAGGTGCACTACAGGTATCTCCGAAAGTGTCTGTTGGGTTGGCACGAATCGAGACTGGGATTTGTCACTCCGTATGATGGAGAGATATCTCTGGGCCCACTCGG